CACTGTCAAGCTCTGTCACACCTTGACGTTGTAGTTCTGCGTGCATGTGAGAGAAGTTGCGCAAGTTACCACGCTGCAGCCTACTTGACATCAGCAGTAGCTTGCTTTTAAACCTGTTCACTGAAAGCATCATGTTGACTACATCTTTACCCTTACCCTGCAGCTCTAAATTCGATTCATTGAGCTCACCAGCTCGCACGCATAACGAGCTAGTTAGCATTCTGCATGGAGTGTGCCGGCGGGCCGATTCTGAGCGCGCGCGCATCCAACAATAGCCTTTATGTCGATATATGGCAATGTTTATGTTTTTTGGACAACGACAACGTAATTCAGGCGGCAGCCATATGTTGCCAAGACGGCCGCCTTAGCTGCACAGTGCTGCGGGAAACCCTGCATTTCTATGATTTTCTTAGTTTGCTAACAGGGTAGGCCGGCGTTCATGTTCGTTAAGTTCGTCACATGGGTGGCAGCCTTTTTAGCTGTTACGCTAAAGTTACGCTAAAGGAAGACACGGCGATTACTAATGGGAAGAAACACATTTAGTTTTAACGTTAGGCGTCAAGAGGATATAAGAAAACAAATGAACCGTTTGAGCATATGTGAGTTTCCCCCCCCACGACGACGGGATGAACAAGAAGGCAACGGAGCATTACTTAAATAAAATAAAGGTCATTGCTTTAAATTGGCTTCTGTTCTGTGGGCTGTGTAACATTGAGTTTGCCTTCTGATGTTAAGCTCTAACTTACTACTGCCCATACAAACACTGCTGCAATTAGTCAACGTAATCGACCATGAAAATTGGTCAACGGCAATCAGTTTAGTGGACGAGTCGTTTTACTATTGATTCATTTCTGGTCTCCCGTCTCAAACCGCTCGCTGTGATGTTATTAATTCTGTTATTCACTCTTTAAGTCTAATGACTGTCTTTGGATGTTTACTTAGACTTTGGCAGTCATGTTTTAAACACCTTCATGCACGCACGTGTAAACGCGAAGTTTGCCTGCGTGCTTTCAGCGTGATTCATTATTTTAGGCAAAGTTAAGTCTAGGCTATGCTAGTTCAGACTCTGACTATGTGGAAATTGCAATAAGTGAAGTAAAGACAGGGTCTCACGTGGACAACGCAACGGCGTGTCATTGATTTATTCATGCTCTTATGTTCCAGTAATGAACTTAACACCACACACTGGTTTCTGCTCCTTTTTGTTATATATCTTTTCCATGTTGGCCAACATTCGTGATTAGCTTATAGGTTGGACCTTGCATATATTACATGTCAGTGGCGAAAAAGAGGTATATTTGACTTAAGTCCATGAAAGTCTCTGGCCATGTGCAATGGTTTGTTGTCCATATTAAGAAAGCAAGGGCACCTATTGCCTGTGGATTGTCGGATATTCCTTGCTACACCACAGAGCCTAAATGTGGTGGTCAGTACAAGTACTACGGCTTAGAAAAGGGAATCTGCCGTTATTTAAGTCAGATGGAGAGTAATGATGTGCACCTCAGCGTAAACGTTGATGGCATCCCACTTTTCAGAAATAGGGCTAACCCTAACCCTATGCATGAAATTGATAGTCAAGTCAAGTCAAGTCATTTTATTTTGTATAGCCCATAATCGCAAATTACAAATTTGCCTCAGAGGGCTTTACAGTCTGTACACATACAACATCCTCTGCCCCGGAACCCACCATTGGCACAGGAAAAACCCAAAAATGAAAAAACCCTTACAAGAGGGAAAAAAGGGAAGAAACCTTAGGGAGAACGTCAGAGGAGGATCCCACTCCCGGGATGGACAGACTACAATGGATGCCATGTGTACAGAATGAACAATGTATAATACATGCAATTCATATGACAGAAATGATTCAAGTAATTGTGAGTAGTGATAGGTGGAAAGCTACTGAACTACGGCAGTTTTTGCTGTACACAGGTCCTGTGGTTTTGAAAACTGTGTTGTCCCCTGAAAAATACAAACATTTCTTGTCCTTGACCGTATCCATGTCGATGATGCTGGAGTCAGATGAGCGGATTCGAAATGCTTATCTCCAATATGCTCATGAGCTAATCAAACATTTTGTCATGTGCTGTGCTGACCTGTATGGCAAGACCTTTATAGAATGTACATGGACTAATTCATCTCCAAGAGGATGCCAGCCACTTCAACTGTTCCTTGAATGACATTTCTTGTTTTCCATTTGAGAACTACCTACAACAAGTCAAGAAACATGTGAGGAGCGGGAGAAGTCCCTTAGAACAAGTTACCAGACGTTTGGCTGAAATCGAGCATTCAGAAGTGGACAAAAGCCAGAGACACCCTAAAGTGTTTGCCTTTGGTAAAAATAAGGACAGTTGGTTTCTTTTGAGGGACTGTAGGAGCCATACATTGGGTTTGATTATTCTTTTGTATTATTTCTTCTTTCCTTCCAAATTGTTGGTATGTGCACGTGTGGTGTGACGTCATTTGCATCTACGACACCATAAGGGGGTGTGGTGTGTATATTAGCGTGTGTCTGTTCACCTGTGGGGCTCGGCGGATTGTTTGGAGCATGGCTGCAGGGTGAGCATGGGGAACAAACTTTCTATTGACCGTCATCGTCACCGTCACTGGGGTAATATTGTCATTATGAAGTTTTATGCACTGTTGATCCTCTCTTGACCGATGAAAGACATCTATCGAGTAAGTGATTGCCGTGTTTCTGCTGGTGAAACGGAGTAATAAACATGATGATAAAATACTTCAGTGCGACGCGTCTTGAGTATAAATCTCCTCATGTCTTAGCCTGCTGCGGCTTTTGATTGTTTTTTTTGTGTATAAGCCGCTATAGGGACAACAGCTTTGCTTTTGTTCGACAGAAAAATGCAGGCGGATATTTTGCTTGTGAAATTCTGCACCACCACTTCACTATTATTTCACCAACCGTGTAGCTCTGGGCTTCTGAACATAGCATGCATAGGAAATGGTCATGTCAGGATCAAAAACGCACTACTGCAAGAAAGGGATCTGTTCCGGTGGCGCTGGTGGTTTTGTCCTCATACCCCTTCGCCATGGTTGGGAACACACATATTAAGGTTGAATTTTCTTACTCTTTTTGCTAAATTCCATCAGGAATCATCATCACCTGTTCCCATCCGTTTGTTTTCCTTATCTTTTCCAGTGACTCCTGCATGTCCTTTCTCACCTCCCTGGGCCTCTCTCTGTCCTCCTGCCACAATATCCTACTCCCAATGTAACCCTCATTGCTCTTCTGTGTATGTCCAAACGCAACATTTTTTTGGACTAAAATGTTAAAAACTTAAAGTAACATTCATGTGCTTTCCTTTCCAGGTCATGTACACGCGGGCTGTTTGGAGGGAGGGTACCCAAGAGAAGGAGGGTGTAGTTCCTGACATTTGGATCAATAGAGAAAAGAAGACCGTCAGATGGCCACGTAAAATGAGCGCAACAAATACTGAAAAAGCTATAAAGGACAAAATGAAACCCCAGGATGACTGGATGACATTTTCATTATTAAAGATAAAAATTACTTCAGGCAAGTGTTGCGTTGATGAATAGAAAATTAAATACATTTTACAGTAAAAATATTGTTTAATTTTTTGTTTGTAAGATAAATTGTCTAACTTTTAGATAAGCGTCGTGAAGCACTTTCCCTACTGTGCCAAGGAAGCTGCAGCCCATTGAGGACACAAACATGTTGCACAATACTTGTGAGTACTGATGCCAACTTGAGAAGCATGAAATGTGTTGTGTACAACATGAGTCACGGGCTCATTCATGTGTTTCATCCCATGAAGATGGAGCCATGTCTGGCCAAGTGGAGAGTGCGGACAGTCCCTGGGACAGTGAAATGTCCACTCCTAGTGAGTATTTACTTTTCCCCTCGCAATGTACAAGTTTAAGTCCATTTAGGACACGGTGTTGGTTCACTGCTTGTTGAATTAAGTTAAATTCAAGGTCTCAGTAGGATACAGACATCACACACACATTCCCTTACAGCAGAAAAAAGTTAAAAAATTAAAAGTATATAATATAAAAAAGACAACTAAGAAATAAGGACAGTAGAAGATAGAGAATATACTAAAATACAAATTGTACTAAATAACACAATCTAAATCAAGCCTAAAAACAGTAACCACGTAGTGGGTGATTAATCATGAGGCGCTTGCAATGACTGAGGCAGGGACTGAGCTTGTGATTCTTTGTGCATAGTAAGGTGCTCTGTGTGAGTGTGATGGTGCAAATGAGTAAGTCCAACAGTGCAAGAATGATTTGTTTCATTTCAATAAATGTACATCTTTGAAAATTATTTGTTTTCTTCACTCTCAAGATGCATGCACAGCACCTCGGAGTAGAGACCAGTCGACACCCAGTGAGTATTTATCACACCACACTTTAAACAGTTACTTTTGTATTTTGTCAGGTCTTCTGAAATGCATGAATATTCTGTGTTTTTCAGGATCTCGACATGCGAGGGATGGCTATCGCTCCAGGTAAAGAAGTAGGACAGGGCACAACGTCAGTAGTGGCTGACTTCTAGTGGTTGGACCACCAGTAGGGGTTAGTCTGTTTAGTTTTATAGGCTGTTTTGTAATATGCTATGTTTGCAATATATGTATTATGTCAATGTATCAATAGTTCCCATAAATTGACTGTATTGAAGTGTAGGTAATGTAAATGCATACGGTAGCCAACACTATAGTACTCAAACCATATACCCTGGGGGAAGGGGCGGGGGTCACTCCGTGCTACACATATTTTCCTGCTTTTTTTTACCTTTGCCAATCACATCCCTGATGTCACTAGGTCTAGCAGTAGGTCCAGCGGTGGATCCAGCCTCAGATCCTGGCACGGTGATAGTTCAAGGCACACCGCCAGGTCCAGCCATGATGGGTCACGGCACAGTGATGGTGCGAGGCACACAGTCTTCATATCACTACCATATGTCTTTGTATAACCAAATGTGACATAAATCAATCTTGTATCTTGTACAGTCAGGTCCAGACATGATGACCGATCCCATGGTGATGCCCCCAGTCTCCCGGCCCAGGTCCAGATATGACAGAGCACAGCATGGTGATCTCAACAGCCTCCACTATGACAGGCATGGTGAGTTAACCGGCTGCATTCTTAACCACGCTCAATTAGGATTATTTTGCTATTCAGGTGGTGATCCTATCACCCAGGCTGCCTGTTCACATTACACAGTGCACACATGGTTTTTAACAAGAAATCATGTAATTTAGAATTCATTGGATGATTTTAAAAACATTTTTTTGTGGTGCAGATGCAGTGACTGAGACTGGGAGATGGGCCTTCCCATTGCCTTGGGATGGTAAGTATTGATCTATTGGCAGTGGAGAAAACCCTTTTAATTGTACCACCTTCACTGTTCCCCGTCCACAGAAACTGCTTTTCATAGTTTCCATCATGTCAGATGATATTTCTTTGGACTTTTGTTTCTTTCTTTAACACTGAAGCTGATTACAAAAACAATTGTAAGCAAGCTAACCTTTTTATTGTAATAGGAACATGGTTATAATCAATAAATGTGTTTAATTATTTCAGTGTTCCAGAAAAGATTCCTGAACCTACAGGTGGATATCCGCAATCGCCTGAAGGAAACACAGCCTGCCTCTTCAGCTGTCCATATTGAGAGGATTGACACCATGGAGGAGTTTGAATTACAGGAGCAACGCCTCTCTGACGCACAGACCTTTGATACACTAGTAGGTTTTACAAGTCTCGAAGTAATGGATACCCTAAAATAAAATAATACAGTGCACTCACACACTGTGGAGTGTCAGTCAACTATATTATGCACTTATTTCAACAGGTGCTGCAAATTTCAAGAATTGGTGGGCGGAACACCAAGAACTGTGCCCACAAAGTGTTGGACGGGTATCTACATGAGCATGTCAGAATAGGTCACGTTTATACAGTTATGCCCATTAGTTTACACACCCATCCTAATCTGCCTGCCTCTTTGTTAAATTTCCATAGAGGTTGTATACTTATGCCCCCTGTATTTTAAGGAAGAATTATTCATTCATAAAGAAAATTGGGGTCCTTAAAAGTTGGATTTGTCCATTTTTTTTTTTGCTTAAGGCATCAAGATCAATTTCCAAAAGAAGACTAGGGGACACTGATCAACTAGTGTAAAGGATTTATCGCATTTGTAATAAGTTCACATTCATTTTTTGAAATTTATTTTTCTTTAGGCTCTTTACCAACAGCCTCAAGGCCAAATTTAATTTGAAGGGCAAGGGGGAAATGGGGAAACGTCCTTTAGAGGGAACAAAGCTTTATAGAGCAATACAAGGTAAGCCCAAGTTTCATGTGGCCTTAGTGTTAGTTGATGGTTTTGTATTTATCCAGTATTGGTAGTGGATGTACAGGAAACATATTTTTGCTTACAAATCTGGGGACTTGGGTGTATGACTGCAGATTGACTTTGCATAATCATTTGTCTTTTTCTGCTCGTGCAGAAGGGCTCATGAAATTCGATCCCACAGCCACTGAGGAGAACATCAAAGTGAACGTGTCCGAGCACCTGAAGCCGCGCCGCAAAGACGTGGAGGATTTACAACGCCCCGATAAGCCAGCCGCCTCACTCCATGCAGGAAGACGGTTCTAAATGATATCGGCTTCCACCTCACCAGTGATGTGGCGACAGAGGCGTGGACATTTAGTCAAAATTGTGTTTCCATTTTTTTTGTATTACTGGAGCTACATGAGTCACTGGATGGCTCAGATATATATATACACACACACTCACTCACAATTTTTGAAAGAGTTAAATTAAAAGTTCAAATCAATTAAAATATTATTCATTCATAATTCTTCTTCACTGTATGACTCACATATATACACCCACTCACTTATACAGAATTTTGAAAGAGTTAAATTAAAAGTTCAGTTCAATTAAAGTCGTATTATTCATTTATAATTCTGCCTCAACTGTATTATGCTTGATAAGTCTGGTGCCCATCCTATTCCATTCAGGGCCATTTGTTTTTGAATAAAGATGGAATGATTTATTTGTGTGTGTGTGTATCTTTAGTCTCATGTTTCCAGAGGGTGGAGGACATGTTTTCTGTACCAGTTCATTTTCTTTTAGCTTTGGCTCAGCAGCTAGTTTGAAATGGAATCTCTTACACCTTTTTATGCTTCTCTTATCTGTTGCTGAGACAATCAAATGGAGTTTTTGGAAAATAATCTAGTACCATTTCAGAAGGTGGCATACTGTTACAGATAATTGTCCAAAAACTCCCATTTGATTGTCTCAGCATTGTGTGTTAAATGGAGATGCACACAAAAGTATTATCCATTCCCTGTTCAAGCTAGCTGCTGAGCTAAACAAAGGGAAATTAACTGGTACAGAAAACATGTCCCCTACCCTCTTAGTTATAGAAGTAGTATAAAACGTCTAAAATGAGTCTAAATTTGACGTTGAAAAGACGTCTAAAACGACCACATTTGTACTATAAATAGCCCCCTATATGGAGGTCCCACGGACGTGAACATTAGACGTGCAGTAGACGTCAAAAAAAGACGTCACCTGGTGTTCCAAAACAACCCCTTCAGTGGACCAAAATTGGACGTCCAAAATGACCTAGAAAAGACGTCACTCTGACGTCACATTGCGCAGTGGGTGAGTGACACCTTGGAGATGTATACTATCAACCTGACCTGAAATTACCATGTATCTATTGATTGTTTCCTTTTAAACCTAATCTGAAATTGACCAGATGTTGCTTTGGTGATTTTGAAGGAAATTGGCCTCCATGTATAGTATTTTGAGAGGCTTCATTTGGAATAGTACATCACTGTTAAGATCCTGCTATCTGTTTGTTGTTTTCCCCCCTGTCTGTGCTTTAATTTGTGGTTTGGTTTTCAATCTAGTTTCCTCTCGGGCCTCGCCCGTGTCCTGCCTCGGGCCCCGCCGTGTCCTGCCTCGGGCCCCGCCCGTGTCCTGCCTCGGGCCCCGCCCGTGTCCTGCCTCGGGCCCCGCCCGTGTCCTGCCTCGGGCCCCGCCCTTCTCTCAGTAGCCCAGCTGGGGCTCATTCCGGGAATCACAGCATAAAGGCTTCGTCAGTCCGTCCCAGTTCCCGAGCGGGTCTCAGGTGCCGTTAAGAATCCGCTACCCTAGCGCCAACCCCCCCAAGACGTCGGTGGAGTTCTCTCTCCCGACTCCAGTTTAGCCTGAGGAGCGCTTTCAGTCACCCCTTTTGACTAGTTGCCCCCCTCGTCTGTTGTTTTTGGTTTTCTTAAAGTCATTGGCAAGAAATTGAACTGCTGTGCGTGTGTGTTTGAGTCCACTAACTACACCTCAGAACAATCAGAATGTCCTGGTTATCTCTGAGCGACACCTTGAGGATGTGTACTATCAACCTGAAGTGCAATTATTATGTTGATTGAGACCATTCTCCTCCCAAATTAATCAGATCCCTCTCCAATGTTGTCAGAAAAGATCTCAGACTGTTATAGCGTTTAAGATGAAGTTTGCTAAGCGGCCTTCCTGGTGACGCTGCTTATGGTTAACGATGACTGACTCTGGGACACTTTGTCCAACGCAGCTTGCAGCTTTAATTTGGTGTTGCATTTTTCAACAAAGCATCATGTTAATGTGTCATTATTACCATAATTAGTGAGTGTTTGAGTCATAGCATTGTATTACATTGCATGTGAATAGCTCATTTACATTTCGAGCAAAACAGATTTTCCACCAAATTCCGTAATAATCCAGTCAAAATAAAGCTTGTTACATAGATGCAGTCTTTCAAAATAAAACTAGCTTCTTCCGAGGGAACACTTAAGATACGTTTCAGAGTTTAGGCAGCAAAAATACTTATACGTCGAGTTTGGGAAAATATCTTCATTTGGGTTTACACAACTGAGGAAGTGGCAGTCCAAAAGTTACGTAACAAACACAATAATGATAAATATTGTCACAACCCGGCTCATGGAAGGTGACAAACAAGGGAGTCCACACGTTGACTTCAAGAAATAACCAAGTTTGTATTCAAAAACTAACAAAGTATGAATATACAACGGAAAGTAAACTGGTGAACTGTGAAAGTAGGCATATGAAGGGTGTAGTGGAAATGCATGGATGCACATCAGAAGTGTAGGTGTTACACGGCCATCATGGAGTCCATCCTCTGCTCCTCCATCACCGTCTGGTACGCTGCAGCCACAGCCAAGGACAAGGGCAGGCTGCAGCGTGTCATCCGCTCTGCAGAGAGGCTGATCGGCTGCAATCTGCCGTCCCTCCAGGACTTGTTCGCTTCCAGGTCTCTGAAGCAGCTAAAAAGATCGTGGCCGACCCCTCCCACCCCGGACAAAACCTGTTTGTGCCCCTTCCATCTGGCAGGAGGCTGAGGTCCATCAGGACTAAGACCTCCCACCACACGAACAGTTTATTCCCGTCGGCAGTCGGGCTCATCAACAGAGCCCGGTCCCCCACTGCCTGACTATAACACTCCACCGGTCACTCCCCCTCATACTGCACACGCCACTTTAACTGCAATTCATCACTTTGTCACTTGTCACTTTGTCTCTTGTTTGTTACTTGTTCGTTAGTGCACTTTATGCTTAATATTTTTCTTTTTAACTTGTTTAATATTTAAAATTTTTGACTTTATTCCCTTGTTTTATACTAACCCATTGCATTAGCATTTTACTTTATTACTTGTGCACTGTTGTCTAGTCTGTCTACTGTCGCGCACTAACCGCCAAGACAAATTCCTTGTATGTTTGTCATATTTTGGTAAATAAATGTTTCCTGATTGAGAGGTACTTAAACAAAACGCATACTCTAACAAAGACTGGATCAAAATGGTGCTCTCTCTCTTTCAGTGAGTGAGTGAGTGAGTGAGTGAGTCACACACACACACACACACGCACGCACACGCTGGGCATCCACCTGGCTAGCTCCACCCACAGGTGCAACCTGTCACCTTAACGGCCTCCTCCAGCTCCACCTGTCTCCAATCTGCAAACAAGAACATAGAGAAGGGGACGGGGGGGCCAGAGGGCCGTAACAATATATACTGTATTAATCCAAGGCAAAATGTGTTCGCTCACAAGTGAAAGACCAATATGTTGTTGACCCTTGACGCCTTGATTAAAACGCAATCAAGTAGAAATTACCGTTATCCCTGCAAACATTGTTGAGAATGCATTGTATGGTATGTTGAGGAGATAGGGTTAATGCTTTGTGCATGCAAATAGCCAGGGCAGCCACCCCTGCAGAAAATACATTCCTGCTTGCATGAATCATATGATATGCATCTTTCCCAGAATTCACATTGCTCTCTTACTTCAACCAGGGGGCCTCGGTTGGTTTGAGATAACCATACAAACGTAAAAATGAATGCTTTAGTCATTAGAAGCATATGTTGTATGTATGTCGCACAAATCATGTGTTTACAAAGAAAGTTTCGCAAGAGTTTAACATGAAAATTTAAGTTGATAAGAAAATGAACGCATGATAAACAAGAGATTAATGTATTATGTAGAGAAACAACAGGATAGTAGGCTGCCAGAGTGGTTTCAGGAAAGGTAGGGGAACCTTGAATTCAATCTTATGCCTAGAAGATGAGATAAGAAAGGCGCAGGCTAATCAGAAACTATACCAGGAGAGTGTTTTGACGTAGAAAAGGCGGAAAAGTCCAGGAAATATGAAGTAGAAAATGGGACACCGCAGGCTAGTGTGGTAAGTCCTATGTTATTTTCCATTGCAATAAACAACATCTTTGGCAAGGTCTCACCCGATGTGGGAAGATCGCTATTTGCAGATGATGGGGCCTTATGGAAAAAGGTAGAAACTTTGAGATTTTTGAACTTTGGTGTTGAAAAATTCCAAGAAGGGATAAAACAAGTTGAATTATGGGGGAAGCAGGGATCAAGAAAGTGTCTTGAGATTATTCTTCTGAAGAAGTAGGACTGAGACTTTTGTATTGTTGTCCCAAAAAGGCGCTCCCTTTTGTGCATTTTGGGTTGTGTAATTAACTCGCTTTTACGTTGGCATGCAATTTGACCCGCAACCGTAGTCGCCAAATGTGTTAGTTTTTTATAGATGTCTCAGAGAATTCATCCGCTGCCATCCTTCACGTTTTAAAGCCTTCGAAAGAATAGTCTGTGTATTTGTTTGACATAGACCACAGAGTAATAATTTAATATTATCCATTGTAAAGGTTAATTTTGTACCTGCAGCATGTTGTTTCACTATAGATATAACTGCTACAGAAGCTAGCTACATAGTGTCATACATGTCGTGTGTAAGATCTTGTTGTGTTTTTGTCTGTTTTAGTTTTACTCAAAATCCTATGTGCCAGTGCTGCAAAATAAAGCATATGGAGCTTGGACGCTACATCCTGACTCCCATATTCCTTCGAATGGAGTTTGGCTGACTGCTGAATTGTGTACGAAGCCACACACACACACACACACACACACACACACACACGACATTAAAAGACGGGATGGCCATCAAACCAAATACATTAAAACGAAAAAAAAGGTTAAATTAATGCAGCACATGCAGACTCACTAAAGTGAGGTGAACATGTAGCAGTAACCCACTAAACTGTGGTATAATAATGAGAAAACCTACCTCTTACTCGAGTCAATCCTGTCTTTGCTTGAGTTAAACAAGACTGAGCATGACGGCGATGTAGTGTGTGGTTTAAATAGTGGACATTTGATTGATAATTGATGACCAGGAAGTAAGAAGGGGGTTGGGTCCACCCGCCCCTACGATAGGTCAGGAGGGGCATTTCACTGCCGGTTACATTTGCAACTGACTGTTTGTGGTGGTGCATTGACTATTGATCACGGAGAAGCGTCTGTGTGCTGTCAAACCCAGCACCGTATGGGACGCCGTTTGTAAAATGTTGCACGTTCCAAAATCCTGCGCAGTTTTTCCACATTTAGCATTATCATATGAACAAAAAAGCACGACAATATTCACATGTCACTTTTTCAAACATTTAGAGAAATTCATGTACTAACTAGTCATGCA